TGCTCTGAGGAGGATAGGAGAACGAGATGCAGATCTCTGTATTTAATTACTTTCTGCCTGGTCTTCTAGCTGGTTGCAGACTTTTTGTGCTGTTCTGCCCTGATGTTGGAGGTCTTCTCTTGATTTACTTTCCTATGGTAACGTTATGAAATAGCAGTTTCATGCTGACAACTCTGTTGGTCGTGGAATAAAGTGCATTTCTGCCAGTTTCAAAGCCATACCTCTGGACAATGTCAGAGTGCCTGAGGTGCAGCTGGAGTCAAATGTGATGAGAAGATCGGTGCAAGCCTTGGGCAGGTGCTTTAGGTGTAACACACGTGATTCCCTGGGAAGCCGTGCTGCTTGTCTCCTTTGTGTGCCACGGTTTGAGTGGAAGCTACACGGTTTGCTCTGGAAGGAGGGGGAAGCCTGAAGTTGTAAACAAAATCCGAAAATGCCACAGACAAAAGACACTGTTAAAGTGATTCATGGCAGAATGTCTCAATTTGCGTTTAAGAAAAAGAAAAGGTGAAGCAAGGCTTGTGTAACCAAGCAACTGCAAAGCCTTTGCTGTTGCCATGGGAGGTTTTATCAATGACACAGTGGTTGAAGCTGTCCTTTTCTCGAAACTGAAGTCTGCGGTAGGAAGAAGAAGGGGATTTCTAGGCAGACTGCTCCTTCCTGCAAAGAATCAACAAGAAGCAGACTGGAGCAGTCACACACAAATACACACAAAGGCCTGATCACGATAAGAACAATAGAACGTTGTTACTTCCAAAATAGAGCTATGAGACCTGCTTAAGGCTCTCCTTTGGGAACAGTTTTTCTTCCACACTTAGTGTACAGGTAAAACAAATACAACGTTTGACTTGAAGAGAGGATTCAGCTGCTGTCTTCTGACTGATCTAATGCAGCAGAAATATTTGCTGTATGTTACCAGGTGGACTTGCAAAATCAAATCCTCAAGCATGTGCTTATTTATTTTCTTTTTTAGTACACAAAGCAACAATAAAAAGGATGCGCTGTGTGGGTATGTTGTGATGATGAATATTGCACCAATGTATTGCTGAATGTGTGTGAAGATGTGACAGTTGCAGTGTATTGGCTTCTGTGAGGCAGGAATCTTATCTAGCATTGCAGATGTATGGATTGGTCCCAGTTTGAAGAAAGTTGGCTTAAGAGATTTATTTGCATTTGTGGTTTGGAAGATGGCCAAGGAATAAGAGTAAATACCTCATACAGTATTTGACTGAGGAATAGATTTACAAATGCAAATCTGGAGTTGTGGTGGTTTCTCACTCAAAAGTAAAATGTTTCATTCCTGTTCCAAAGAGCAGATGCCCAACAAACATCTCTGTGCAGGAAAAGGAAACGTTTCCTTAAACATCCTGCAGCAAACTTGACTGATGGAGCTTCCTTTTCCCTGTGCCTGGTGCATTTCCCCTGTTTGCACAGACAGGATCTAACCAGATTTGCAGGCTCTGAAGTGAGGCTACTTTCAAATTCATAACTGTGGAACGTTCCATTTAGCAGGACAAAGGCCAGGCCAGCAGCCACCCTTCTTCCAGCCCAGTGTGCAAAGCAGGAGGAGGGTGGTGAGGAGCTTTTGTTAATCTCAACCGAGCTGGCCAGAATGCTGCTGAACAAAGTCTTTGAAGATACTTTTTCTTCATTCTTAAAGCAACAGTTGGTTCAAGAGAGCATAAAAATCTTGCCAAAAGTATCTGTAAAATATTGAAAGACCTCCCTGGCAGTCACGTAACTTCAGCAAATTCCCCCACTAGTAATTAGCCTCCGCAGTTTCCTTTAACGGACGTTTTTTCACAGGTTCTGTTCTGATGCAACTGTGAAAATGCTTTTTCCCCAGCTTGAATGCACTTCTTGACAAAAATGGTTGGTGGAAAGGATTTAGGGTATCAGGTCAGGCTGGGCCCGATCCAAGCAGCATGGGCTTTTTTTCCCCCTTCTATTTTTAACCTGTAGGAATTGAAAGCTTAAAGGGCTTCGTGCTTAGAGCTGCTCTCCAAGTCCCTGGGACTCGGTCCACTTCCTGATGTGCTCCCAGCACGGGGCGGGCGCTGCCTCTTGCTCCTGTGAGCTCCGGCGGGGGCCGAGGTGCCGGTGCAGCACAAGGGCAGCTCCCAGCGCCCCGGGGCTGAGCCAGCTCTGCCCCCCGCAGCCCAGGGGAAGGAGCTCTGTGGACGCCTCCCCGCTACTGAGCCCCGACCACCCCTGCCTCACCCCTGCCTTTCATGACCAGCGACTCCTCTGGGGGGTTGGTTTAGATGTTTTTATTTTTATGTGAAATTATAAATACAAAATAAAAACCAGCGCTGTAGGTATTTATTTCCACTGGGATGAGGTTCAGGCCTGCTCCTGAGTGCTTTCACTTCCTAAGCTTCAGGACCAGATCTTTGCTGTCAGAAAACAAACAGTGCAAACGGAACCAATTTGTGCCCTGAAGCAGTCGTGTCAGTAGCAACATTCACTGAGGTGGTGGTTCATTTTTTTCTCGTGAAGTGATGCAATACATCAGTATACTGAAGGGTGAGATAAAACACAGGTATTCTTTTGAATAGATGTTGTTGGACACTGCCCTGTGACCTCTGTGAATTCTGACACATCAGCAGCGAGTTACGTTCTGGGCAAGACAAAGGGCTTGTTTCCTAGGACATACAGTTAGCACTGGCTTCTTCCATGAGGTCGGGTTGTGGAGTTGGTTCAGATGTGGTTATCAGTGGGCCCAGCCCTGCCGTGTCATGAAGCTATCGGGAATTTTGGCTTGCTAAAAAAGACTCCAAGTGAAGGTGCGTGCTTTTGTCCCCCCGCCCCCAGCACGGCGTTCTGCCCGGCTGCTAGATAGCAGTGCTGTCACTGCGTGCCTGAATCCAGCTGCACTTCCGAAGGCTTGCAAGTAAAGCCCCATGCAGGCCAGGGTGTGGCTTATTTGTGATTCTATCTGAGACAAATCCCATTATTTTAGCAGATCATTTTAAGTGAAGTCTGCAGGATTTTTTGAGCTAATATCCATTGACTCTTCTTAGCCGACAGCACAGAGCTGAGGGTGGTGTAACGTGGCTGTGGGTAGGGGCTGGGTCACAGGAACAGTAGGGCAGTAGCACTTAAAATACAATAAAATAACTGAAACAAATAAAGGCACCAAACCGTTACAGCCAACTTTGGTAGGTTTCTTGCAGAATATATGCACTTAAATACATTGACAGTTTACAAAAGTTATACTGATTTTAAAAGTTGCACTGATGAAATATGGAATATTTCATTCTTGTACCAAAACTGCATATCCCATCGTAACAACAACATCTTAGGTTTTGTTTAGTTGAAAACTGTGTAAGAACTGCACCTCTGTAGAGCAAAGCTGATCCCAGACATGTCGCACTGCTTTCTGCTGTCTGAGGGGTTCAGACCCCGCAGCGTGTAAAAACAAAAGCAGTTATCTTTATAAGGGTAAATTTTGTGCTCAGCATTCAACATCAATGTCTGGGGGGGTTTAGTCTCTCTTTCAGATCCATGTATGGACTGATACTGCTGGGGTTTTAAGTTTGCTAAGCAGAGCAAGGGCAGTCAATGTAAATCCGTCACAGCCCCCAGGAAGGGTCAGCCTGCAGTTCTGAGCATCATAGAACTGTAAGCGTCCGTGCGGAGCTGTGGTGCTGCGGGGAGCCAGGGCTCAGTGCTGCGCTCTGAGGACTCACAGCACAATTCCTCTCCCACTGTTGGCAGAGCTCCTCGTGGCAGCACGGTGCTGCACAGCCTGCAGCGGCGTTCTGTCTTGATCTGATGCCACGAGGAAGGTGTTTTGCCTTCTGACAATTTGTGTGAGAGCATCGCATCACCCCTCTGACACTTTTGTTGGTTTTGGTTGTTTTTTTGTGTGTTTCTAGAGGGAAAGGTACGTGTTAATATCCCAGGCTGTGGTGAGGTTTAACAGCTCAGAAAGTGAGTTACATTGCCCAGAGCATCTTCCTCCCAGTCTGCAGCGCTACCAGGAGGAGCTGTGAGGGCCATAGGAGCCATAACCTCCCACCTCCCCAGCACTGCACGGTCTCAGTCAAGATACTGGGAGAAAGTCCTCCAGCATTTAATCTATTTGCCCGATCAATTAAATTAAGGCAAGTGCATGTTACCAAAGTTGCAGTGGGGAGCCAATCATGTGTATGTCCAGCTGAGCACACGTGATTCAGGACTGGCAGCGTGCAGTGCTCAGCAAGAAGGCCATGAAGCCTCACAACCTAAGCATCAGGAGGGAGGGAAGGGTTTATGTTTCCAGTCCCCTGTGGTACAGATGAGAGGAGGGGCGCCCTGCTGGAGCTGGGGCACAAAGATCTCCCAGGTCTCTGCATTTGGTCCTGCAGTAACTGGCGACGTGCAATGAGTTCGTATTCAAGTACAAGAAGAACAGAAGCTGATGAAGAAGTGATGGAGAACCTGCAATAATGGCAGCTATCTGAAATCACTTTCAAAAGTCTCAAAGGCGCAGCACAGCCCGCTTCTTTGAGGGCCCAAAACAATGGAACAAAATGACGTGCCTTTCTCCAGCCGATTATTTGCACGATTAAGGACCAAGGTTAGAGTCGTCTTTCAGATAGGAACCCGAGTTTAGTTGCCCACAAAGAACGAAAGGAAAACCTTAACCAGTTAAAGCCACGGCAGAAGTCAGTCAGCTGCAGGTTTTCAGGAGATAGAACGAAGAAGGGAAGCGTCTCCTCCCTGACGGGACACGCGCGACGGCCCGGCAGCGCGCGGAGAGGCACCAGCGGCTCCGCACCACTCCCGGCTCCGCTCCAGCAGCGCGGCTGTGCCGCCGGGCCAGGCAGCGCCGGCCGGGCCGGGAGCAGAACCAGACGCGGCGCTCCGACGGGGAGCCGGGCCGGCAGGACGCCGCTCTGGCGGGGCTGCCGCCGCCGTGGTGCCGCGGCCGGGCGGGCTCCGGGATGGGCAGCGCCGCGGCGCCCGTCGGCCGAGCTCACCGCAGTCGCTCCCGGCCGGCGCCGTCTGTCCGCGTGCCCGCACGGCCGGGCGGAGCGGGCGGCCCCGCTCAGACGTAGTTCTTCTTGTCGTACTCGCCGTTGGAAGTGGGCCGCCGCGGCGCCGAGTACTTGACGGGGAAGGAGGTCTCGTCGCGGTGCGAGCAGGAGCAGCAGCAGATGAGGCAGCCCCCGAACAGCAGCAGGGCCGTGGCCGCCCAGCCGATGTACAGCGCGGCCCCCATCTCCCGCTTCTGGGACGGCGGCACGGAGGGGTCGTAGAAGTCGCTGATGACGATGTTGGCGAACCAGCAGAGCGGGACTAGGACCAGGACCCCGCAGAGGATGTAGATGGTCCCTCCGGCGATCACGATGCGGGACTTCATCTTGCCGGGCCGGATGCAGTTGGTGCACTGCGCGCCCACCACGGTCACCATGAGCGCCACCAGCCCCAGCAGCGCCACGATGACCGTGAGCGCCCGGCCCGCCTGCACCTCGGGCCGCAGCGCCAGGATGGAATCGTACACCTTGCACTGCATCTGCCCCGTGCTCTGCACCACGCAGTTCATCCACAGCCCTTCCCAGATGGTCTGCGCCACCACGATGTTCACGTCGATGAAGGCTGACACCTGCCACATGGGCAGCCCGCAGGCCAGGATCACCCCCACCCAGCCCAGGATGCCCAGTCCCAGCCCCAAAATCTCCACCGCCGCCGAAGTCATGCCGCCGCTGCCGCTGCTCTTCGGAAGCCCGCGGGGAAAGGACGGCGGCTCCGCACCTCCGACCCCGGGCGCCACCGCCGAGCCGCTCCGAGCGCCGGCGGCCCCGGGCAGCGCTATATGAGCAGCCGCGGGAGCCCTCCCACCGCCCGCCCCGCTCGCGGCCCGGCCCTTCCCGCGGAGGGGGGCTCTGCCCGGCCATTGGCGGACGCGGTTCCCCCGGGCTGGCAAACGGCTCTGGTTAAGTGCTGCTGTTACGGCTGCAGGAGGAAAAGATCTCAGCTGCTGCCTCGCTGCGCTCACAGGGAGCTGCAGTTTGGCAGCGTTCCGCTAGGCACCCCGAGGGGGGCTAGGTTTGGTGTAAGCATGGACTGCTTTTGTTTCTCTTAGAGAAGTTAAAATGTTGTAAACAAAATTGGAAGTTATGTTCGCTGGGCGTTTGGAACTGATCTGGGTAGATTTGGTTTCATTTAGCCCAAAGCATCTTGCCAGGACACAGGAGGTCACGGAGATGAAAACAAGGTATTCCTGCCCCTCCGTAATTGGTTTTCTCTGTTGTGCAGTAATTTATGGCATTATGACATGCAGACAGTTGTGATGACAACAAACAAGTCTGAATGGAGAAGACCATGTGTGAAGCAGAGGAACAAGAAATGGTAGGGCAGAAGCTGAAGGGATTGCATGCATCAACAACTGAGGACATGAGCAATGAGCTGGTGCTGAGCAATGCCCTGCCTGCATCCTTCTGCAGAGTGCCCACGTGCTGGCAACAGGAGGATGGCGGTAAGGGCACAGCCTGTGGGATGTGGCCTTTCACCTCACTGTTATCTCAACAGGAAGGTGAAATTTAGCCACAAGACACCCGAAAGAATGAATCAAAACATAGTCAGCTTCGTGGAGCGTCACGATGTGGACATGGCAATACGTGACAGCAGCAGCCTGTCATCGATTGACTCTGAGTGAGGAGCCGTAAACATTTCTAGCATGAAAAATGTCTCCCTAACAGAGGCTGCCTGGTAAATGGAGCACAGAGGAGTTTTCCCCTCTTCCAGCTGCATGTGAAATACATACGGCTTACTTCAATTATGTAAAACTGTGTGTTCCAGTGTGCAAGTCCAGCAGCAATGTGTGACCAGGGCTGTGCGTCCGTCAGGCTGAGGCTGCTTGCTGTAAGTCAGCAAGGGCCCTGCTGTCAGGGACAGGGGACTGTGCAAAAGAACCGACCAGAGAGACAGAGATACCTGAGGTGAACAGGAGGAAACCCGAAATGCAAGCTGAAACGGAGTAACGTCTGTATTTACAATGATAATAATGGTTGTATAGAAACCTCAGAAGAACAATTAAAAAGGGGGGAAGAAAAGCCAGTTATCTTAGCCTGTGAGCACAGGGAAGCCCCACCCTTGCCACTTGCCCAAGAGCACAGAACTGTGGTTTCCTCTGATACATGGCCTACGTGTGCTGCCCAGGCGGGAGGCACTTGTGGGGCCGTGCAGCTGCTGGGGCTGCGTGCTGGGAAGCATTGCACGGCTTGTTTCAGCCCTGCAGCCCTCAGCCCACCTTCCGTGCTACCTGTTACCGAGCAACCGATTCCTCCAAGTCACTTAATCCAAGACATTTATTACTCTGGGGCAACGCATGCTTAGCAATCACAGAGTAAACCAACATTTCTGCTTCAAGGAATTTCCATTCTTGGCACTTCTGCTTCTTGTGTTTGTTCCCTTTTCTTACCCAGGTACTGCCTTCTATCCTGGTCACACCATTTTTAGTTATTCCTCGGTGCTGAAAACGAGAACTCATTGCACAGGCTCCCGGCGCTCGCTGTTCTGGTTACACCTGCAGGTGACTTTGTGGGCACAGCTGTGGGGGGCTCAGCATCAGCACCCTGTGGCTTCTGATGGTGTTAATGTCACAGCATTGGGAATGAATTGAAGCTCCCAAAGTGAAAAGTTTCTGATTTCTTAAAAGTGAACACAAATCAGCACAATGTTTTGCTTGGGATATTAAGTAAATAAATAATTACTTGTAACTGAAATCTGTGTTAATAAACTCTGTATTCACTTCCATTCAAAGACACGATGTTCTTGAAGCAAAGTAAGTCGTTAACAGATTACCATTTATGTTATTACATCCATTGCTGTTTCAAATATGTATTTCTTAAATCAGGCTGGGGGGATGCAGAGGGGGCTTTGCAGCCTGTGAAAATGGGCGGAAGTGGTATTCAAACCGAGAACAATTGCACAGAAACTATACTATAGCAAGAGGGGCTTTGGGATTAGAAGCAATTGTGTGTTCATGCTTTTCCTGACATGATCAGGACAAACACCAGGCACAGAGTAACTGGGAGGGCTGTTAAGGGGGGTGCAGGCTCCAGCACTGCTTGTCCTGAGGTAAGAACTGCGACCCATGGCACAGAAGAACTGCTGTGCCCGGCCCTCCTGTCTGGCCAGGGCTTTGCTCAGCTCCAAAGCATTCTGCTGGCAGTGTTCAGGCAGATTTGCCTTTTGGGACCTGACATGCAGACTGCTGCTGCTCCTAAAACGTTAAGCATCAGGAAGACAAGAAAATTTCATCTGGTGTCAAGCTGATGCCTGAATGTAGTATTGTTTGTGTGAATATGGCAGGCAATGAGTCAAAAGACGATTTCAAAGCTCACTGGTCTCAAGATGGCTTACCACAGCTTTTGGATCAGACAGAAGCAAAAATGAAGAATCAGGAGTCCTGTCACAGATAATTAAGTTAATTAAGTTGTTCTTCATTAGACAAGATTGCTCCTTTCTGAATTATCCTTTGAAATGAGACTGTTTCTCCCAGGAGAAGAGATTCAGTTGGAGCTTGTGTTCGTGTTCTGTATTTTGCAGAGAAGTGGGCCTCCATGAAGCCGCTGCGCAGCACCAGTGCCAGCACGTCTTCAGGCCAGAGTGACACATCAGAAAGTTGGTATGTAAGAATGAATCCTTGTCAAATGATGGGCTGATTACAGAATGGAAGTGCACAATTTCCCCATCAGGTTTATCTCCACTTCCTTTATTTTGGAAAGAAGATGGAATTGCCACTCCCTTTGTTAGTTGATATTTTGAGCGAAGAGGAACAGTGATCTAAGCACAGCACCAGCATTTTGCAATAGGGACCATAAATGCAGTATGACCGACACTAACAAAGTAGCATTCCACAACTTTTTTTAGTACAAGTGCTGCTGCTGCCCTTTGGGATGGAGAAATGGATGCCCATGCTACTCTTCACCCTCAGTGCTAATGTGAGACGATTCATATGGAAGAAGGGAAGGAAACAAATATATGTGGTTGCAAAGATGGATAAAAGAGGTTACAGATCTGCTTCCAACCTTCATATTTTTGCTGCTGTATTTTGTTTCCTAAACAAAGTCACCCTGGTCCCATACTAGTCCTTGAACTTTACAAGCATGCCCTGCCTGGGCGTTCCCTTATGGATTGCCCACTGGCACTGTCAGGGAGTCAGGGGCAGGGAATTCTGGCTGGCCCACACACTGCATCAGGAGTCAAGCAGTGTCATGAGCCCTTCCTTGGCATAATGAGGAAATTAATTGCGCAAAACCGTCATTAGAGTGGAGTTCCTGCTTGAATTTCCCTCCACACAAACCTCCGGATCGGTATCTCGAAGTTCCCCTTGGTCTGCACTGGTCTCCATGTGTTAGTAAAGCAGCTCCCACTTCCTGCCTTGCCCTGCAGAGCTGCTGGGGGCCTTGTGTTCTGAGTTTGACTTTCCCGAGAATGCTGTGGTGCCTCTGCACAGCCACGGCTCTGGGGCTCCAGGGTGGTTAAAGCAAGGAATGATGCAGACCACTTTCTCAATCTGGCAGATCAGTATCTAAACATCAAGAGAACTGCAGTACGTATACGCCTGAGCCTTGTCAGCTCCAGTACTTCTCATTTACGCTGTGGATGGCTCTTGGGAATCGATGAAAGCTGGGGCAGGCAGGGGGAAAAGAACTATAGGAAATATACATTGTTTCACAGTCAAGAATCCATTCTATGCCATGTTTCCTATCCGGAGAACTGTAGTTTAATTTTGTCCTCTCCCAAAGTTAGCCTCCTTCCACGGATTGTGGTGAACCAGGACTCTGGTAAACCAATCTGTTCCCCGTGTAATTGTTGGGAAATCACATCAGATGTCATTTGGTTAAGAACAGCACCAGCAAGGACAAATGTCATTGTCTTAAATATACAGTGCAGATGTCGAAAGTAATTAATAACAACGTGACCTTGGAGATAAGTGAAAACTCTTCAGGTTCAGTGATGGGAAACATACTACATTTCACAAGTGTCCCAGGAAACCTGAGTTCCAGAGAACATGAGAGAGGCTTGGGGCAGCTCCTCTGACCATAGGAGATTAATGCTAGCAGTGCAGCTGTGTTCAAAGTACTTTTTTCCTGCTGACCCCTTGGAAGAGGACATCACGCACAGCGTGCGACGCAGGGTGTTGGTATTTATTCCTGAAAGGGTTGGTCCTGCAGCTCCAACCTGTGACTTTGCAACGCACAGTTAGTCTGGGTCTTAAACACAGGCCTAAATCTGATGGAAATGAAAAGGATCACGCATTGTTTTAGGCTTAAATCCCAAATGTTCAACCATGTGAGGAACAGACAGAACCGACAGAAAACAGAGCTAAAAGAGATCTTGTAACTGGAAAGAAACCGTTTCATTTCATCCAAGCAGTCCAGCCTGTTTTGTTTAATGGAAATTATACCCAGGAACATGGGGTTGCTTTATGTATCAAAACTCAATCTAGTCTTCAGGTCTTCAGTTATGTGATCATATTTGTTTTATTGTAATCAGTGTCAAACCATTTTCTCTGTTAATTAACAGAAATGCCATAAAGTTTTGGGATTATTCCTTTCTTCGGTTTTTTTTTCCTTTTTTTTTTTCCCAAATGTGTGAGGTTTTTTAACTTCCTAAGACAACGCTCCACACAAAATCAAGATCTGAATTCAAGGAAGGACTCTATGCTTTTGATAATGTAAACTTAAATGTAGCAGGAAATTTTATGAAAGACACTTGAACTTCCAAGAACTAAAACAAAATTCAGTCAGAAACTAT